GGGGAGAGGGGAGGGGGGAAGAGGGGAGGGGGGGAACGGGAGATGTACAAGTGATTCCAATTGCACGCACCTATTCCGGTTTGTAGGTGTAATCCATGCTCCCAAACATAAGACACGTGGTGCAGTCCAGAGATTTCCATGAAGAGCCCCCACAGTGCAGCTCAAGACATTCCAACAAACTCGGACCTGAAAGGAAGTTGCAATCCCAATAGGTACAATGCCATTACAACCCTAGATTCAGTAAAAGTAAGGGTACGGTGCTACTAGCCCTGGGGAGGAAGAGAGCGAGAGAGAGGGGGTGAGAGATGGAGAAGGGGCGAGAGAGAGGGGGCGAGAGCGGGGGCGAGAGAGAGGGAGAGAGAGAGAGGGGGCGAGAGAGAGGGGGCGAGAGAGAGGGGGCGAGAGAGAGGGGGCGAGAGAGGGGGCGAGAGAGAGAGTAAGGGAGAGAGAGAGAGGGAGATAGAGAGAGGAGAGGGGGGGAGATAGAGGACACAGAGAGCAAATGTGCAATTGTAGGGTGCCAGATTGCACTTACAAGTTCCGATTCCACCTATATTAATACACACTTCACCGGAATCACAACGAGTGACTGCGCATGTTCCTGGAGAGAGAGTGATAGAGAAAGAGAAAGAGAGGGAGACAGAGTGAGAGGGAAATAGAGTGAGAGGGAGATAGAGTGAGAGGGAGAGATAGTGAGAGGTCAATAGAGTGAGAGGGAGATAGAGTGAGAGGGAGATAGAGTGAGAATGAGATAGAGTGAGAGTGAGATTGAGAGGGAGAGGGAGTGAGTGAGTGAGTGAGTGAGAAGGGAGGGAGTGAGAGTGAGAGTGAGTGAGTGAGTGAGAGAGAGAGAGAGACGGGACGGGGGAGAGGGCGAGGAAAGTGAACATAAGCACTTTGCAGAAATGGAGGAAAAAAAAAAAAAAAAAAAAAAAAAAACACACTACGCAACGCACCCGTGCAAGTGCCCTCGTGCCGTACATATCCTTTTGCGCATTCACAGACTGCGCCATCACTTGAGTCGACACATACTTCAGTGTCGTAATTGCAAGGGGTTGACTCGCATGTTCCTGGCAGAGGCGAGAGAGAATGGAAAGTAGTTTTGAGAGTGGGGTTTTGAGAGTGGGGTACACTGTACAAAGAGCTGGATAGACCATGGAGAGAGTGGGGTGGAACCAATTGAATGGAGACAGCATGAGCGTGCAGGAAAAAGATGAGGCAGATAAAGAAACACATACCTTTACAATTCGGGGGCGTGCCTTTGTATTCGGGATAGTTGCAAATGCATTGTCCACCGTAATCCGTTTCTTTGCAACGTTCGAAGGGCCCACACTTCGTGAATATGCATTGCACTGGCAGTAGGAGAATTCATCAGCGAGGGAGAGGGGGAGGGGGAGGAATATTCGCGAGAGAGAGGAAGGGGGGAGGGGGAAGGGGGGAAAGGCGGCTGAGGAAAGAGTGCTGGCAAAACACCACTGCTAATCATGACATCCATAAGCAGGGCTGCAGGGCTTTTTGCATGGCTTGTCAACAAAGGATAGATGGGCTACAAACAACCTCCGAATCACATGACAGAGTCCTCTCCTTCTGTATCGTGCTTTCTACACTAGCTTGTACACCCTTTTGCATACACAATACAGAGAACGTGTGTGGGAGCGTGTGTGGGAGCGTGTGTGAGAGCACAGTGTGTGAAGGTGACAACAGGCTACGTACGCACGCAGGTGTGAGAAGAAGCGCGTGTGTATCCAAACTTGCATTGACAGTATGACGTGTCATCTCGCTCCACACAGTCCTCGTTGAGACCACAGACTCGTATTGAGCACGGTGCTGGCAGATGGTGGGAGGGTTTATGGGGAGGAGAGGGAGAGGGAGAGAGAGAGTTGGTAGCACGACAGTGAGTAGGATAGAGGGGGGGGGGTCTTTGGGGTTGAAATGCATGCTATATACTCAACTCACGTGCATGTTTGTAATAGTTCGGATGTAATACAAGGACCACTTGAGAGGGTGAGAGCGAGAGAGAGAGAGGATCCCTTAGCCCTCTGCCCTCTGCCTCAGCCCTATGCCCTCTGCCCTCCCGAGCTATGTAAAGGCTCTTTGTGCTCGTTCCACTTCATTATTTCGTGTCGAGTTCATTTTCGGCGGGTGAGAGCGAGAGAGAGAGAGAGAGGATCCCTTAGCCCTCTGCCCTCTGCCTCAGCCCTCTGCCCTCTGCCCTCTGCCCTCCCGAGCTATTTAAAGGCTCTTTGTGCTCGTTCCTCTTCATTATTTCGTGTCGAGTTCATTTTCGGCGGGTGAGAGCGAGAGAGAGAGAGGATCCCTTAGCCCTCTGCCCTCTGCCTCAGCCCTCTGCCCTCTGCCCTCCCGAGCTATTTAAAGGCTCTTTGTGCTCGTTCCTCTTCATTATTTCGTGTCGAGTTCATTAAACAGAATTTGTTTCAAGCCACCAGCCACCTCATCAAGCCATCAGCCACCTCAGCAAGCCACCAGCCACCTCAGCAAGCCATCAGCCACCTCAGCAAGCTCTATGCAGTAACAAAGGAGGAAATCCCACCTTTGGGTTCCTCAGACAAGACCCTGACAATCAAGGGTGTTTTGCCGTGTTGCAGTCTGTTGTGATGCCTCCATGGGCCACGTGACCTTTAACCCCAAACCTCAAACCCTAAACCCTATACCATGATTGATCTGAGTTGCTACCTTGCCCACCTCAAGTGGTTTGGGTTTGCATGGGCAACGATACCGAAACCAAGTGAGAGAGAGAGTTCTCTCGTTGAAAACCTATAGGCGGATGTCACCATCCGCCATCCCCTGACGGGAGAGGTGTGGTTGTGCGACATGACTGTGACTGACTCCGTGTCCCACCAGGATGAACACTGTAATCGAGCTCCAGGGTGGGCGGCAAGGGCGGCAGCAGCTAGGAAGGAGGAGAAATACGCGCGAAGGAACGCGTGGGTGGGCTTCCACGCACTTGCAGTCGAGACATACGGCTATCCTTCCCCGGGGGTGATGGCTTACCTGCGGCAGTGCGCGGAGCTGGCGGCCAAGCTGCGATACAACGCAGCTCCTACCTCATACGAGGCAGCCAAGCTGCTGACGGAGTACCGCCAGCGCTGGAGTGTCTGCCTCCAGAGAGCGCAGGCCAACGCTCTCCGCTCCAAGACCAACGAGGCCTTGGCAGCGGACGAGCTCGGCATGCAGGGCCCCATTGTCCCCCTTAGCGAGGGACAGCTGCACCAGCTGATTGAGCCCCCGTTCGGCCAGTAGGGTCGGACAGAGGGGGGGGCGGAGTAGGTTAGATGTGAGTTTGTTTGTTTGGTTGGAGGTTTGTTTGGTTGTTTGGTTGTTTGGCATGTGTTTTGCATCTTCCTCTGTATCACCCCTTATTTAAAGCGAGGACCATTCGAGAGAGAGAGAGAGAGAGAGAGAGAGAGAGAGAGAGAGAGAGAGAGAGAGAGAGAGAGAGAGAGAGAGAGAGAGAGAGAGAGAGAGAGAGAGAGAGAAAAGAGGGCGGTGGAAGGAAGGTGAGAGGAAGCTGCAGGGAGGAGGACAGGGGGCAGGGGCACTATGGTATAGTAGGGGGGTGCCACAGGACAGGAGGGGAGGGAGGTATTCAGGGTCTGGGGTTGCTGCTGGCCGGCCTGTTACAATGCTAGGGGACTAGGTTGTACACACACGGCATGCCTGCTCGGCTTGCACTGCTTGCTTTGCTTTGCTTGCTTGTTTTGTTTGCTGGTTTGCTTGCATGTTTTGTTAGATATGACTACTTGGTACCTGGTTGCCTACATGCTTAGACAGACTAGCTACAACCACCTCCTGCCATGTCTGTACCTCATGACCACTATCAATACATGACTACTTGAGAGAGAGAGAGAGAGAGAGAGAGAGAGAGAGAGAGAGGGAGAGAGAGAGAGAGAGAGAGAGAGAGAGAGAGAGACGTATGTACTCTCTAGTTGAAAATCTAAAGGCGGATGTCACCATCCGCCATCCCCTGACTGGAGAGGTGTGGATGTGCGACGTGACCGTTACAGACCCGGTGTCTTACCAGGACGAGAACTGCAACCGAGCTCCTGGTTGGGCGGCTAGGGCGGCAACAGCTAGGAAGGAGGAGAAGTACGCTCGCAGGAACGCGTGGGTGGGGTTCCACGCGCTTGCGGTGGAGACGTACGGCTACCCCTCGCCGGGGGTGATGGCTTACCTGCGGCAGTGCGCGGAGTTGGCGGCAAAGCTGCGGTTCAACGCAGCACCAACCTCCTACGAAGCAGCTAAGCTGCTGACAGAGTACCGCCAGCGCTGGAGCATGTGCCTCCAGCGGGCGCAGGCCAATGCCCTCTGCACCAAGACCAACGAGGCCTTGGCGGCAGACGAGCTAGGCTTTCGGGGGCCCATCATCCCTCTTAGTGAGGGACAGCTGCACCAGCTGATTGAGCCCCCGTTCGACCAGTAGGGTCGGACAGAGGGGGGGGGCGGGAGTAGGCAGAGGATGTGGAGTAGATGGGATACCGGTTTGCGTGTTTGTTTAGCTTGTGTGTTTGCATCTTCCACTGTACCACCTCATAAGTAATGCAAGGACCTTTTGAGAGAGAGAGAGAGAGAGAGAGAGAGAGAGAGAGAGAGAGAGAGAGAGAGAGAGAGAGAGAGAGAGAGAGAGAGAGAGGTACATACGCTTGCAGAGTCCAGGGCCCCCAAGATATCCTGGCTTGCACTTGCACGTTGGCCTGAGGTTCACCATCTCGCATACTTCGTTTTGACCGCATTCATAGACTGCGCAGGTTGCTGGTAAGTGGGAGAGAGAGGGGAGAACGAGAGAGGTGGTGAGGGATAGTGAGGTGAGGCAGGGGAAGAGACGGTGGTAGAGGAAGGAGGGTAATAAGAGGGGACGAGAGATAATATGCAAGGAAAGTGAGAGGGAAAAAATAAGAGGAATGGAAAGCCAAACATAATACATACCATCACAGTATTTGTCTCGCGCGACGATCCTGCAGCGCATTCGCAAGTCCCAGCGCCTCCAGGGACTTTCTCCACACTGTGTTGGTTTAGGGGACAATAGAGAGCTTTGCATGTTGCTGCAAGATGGATTTGATGATTGATAGGGAGAAGTGGGAGAATGAGACACGGGATGAGAAGAGAGCACGACAGAGAGGTTATGACAAATGAGCAAGATAGGCAGCGAAACGCGTGACAATAAAAGAGAGAGAAAACTATCAATCACAGAGGCATTGCATAGGAGGGAGAGAAAGAGAGGCAAAGAACGCGTGTGAGTAAAGAGAATAAAGTGAAAGAACAAGCACACCACATACCAGCACAAGATCCCGCCTGGCCGACATATCCACTCCGGCATTTGCAGGTTGGCACACCTCCTACCATCGCACATTCTTCCAATGGTCCACAATTTATGGCTTCACAGGTGTCTGTTGGATGGATGGAGGGAGACAGGAGATGGGAAGAGGGGGAGAGGGGAAGAGGGGAAGAGGGGAAGAGGGAGAGGGGGGAGAGGCGGAGAGGGGGAGGGGGAGAGTAGGAGAGGGGGAGAGGGGAAGGAAAGTAACCTACATTGCGACTAATGCAATGACCTTTGGCAGGAGGCGTGCTGGTGTGGATGTGACATGGAGCAGGAAGGGATGAATACGTGGGTCAGCCACGCGAGTGAGGCAGCGAAGTGGAGAGGGGAAATGCAGGAAGGAGCAAAACGATAGAAAGAGGACATCAGGAGAGGGGAGATGGGGTCAGGGAGTGGAATGTGCACGAGTGAATGATAAAGGGAAGGCAACGGGTCAAGTAAATGAGAGCATCAGGACTTAGATGCTTGGACCATCACGTACTTGGGCATGCTTGGATGCTGAGCTGGGAGTTCCAAACACAGTCACGAGGACAGTTAGCCGGACAGTTAACTGCAACAGAATCCAAGAGGGATGAAGAGGTACAGGTTCAACTCAGCAACATAATGAAAGCAAGACGATCTGCTTTGCTGCCAAAGCAGACAATCTGTCTACCTTCTCTCAACCACCAGCAATTGTCTAGAAAAACCACATCTGCCACGTGACTGCTCCCCATTTGCTATGTGACCAACGGTGGCTAGATAAGCAACTTCACCTAGCCTTCCTCACGGTGACCAAGAGCAACCATCCTCATTCATTACTCCCCAATGGACGATGATTGGATGGACGATGATTGGATGGAATGTGTGTAAGTTGCCGAGCGAGCACACCTTTCTTACAGACCGGATAGAGTCCAGATGTGTCACAAAGGTATCCATATGGACAAGGCATGGCCGGGCATGATACTGGCAGATGGATGGTGAAGATTGGGTATGATGAGAGGGAGAGCACGTGTTGGTGGCAGGGAGGGGAGGGGAGCACGTGTTGGTGGCAGGGAGGGGAGGTGGGCGGGGAAGGGGAGATGGGGGGTTTGAAGAGTTCATATGGTTAAACACCAAAAGGCCAACAAAGCTTGGTGGCAATGCCTCAGATCCAGAGAAATAAAAAAGGGGATAACGGGGTACATAGGGAAACATAGGGGAAGAACTGACGCGGGTATTTTTAAATCCATTGCACGTACGTACCTATGCAATTTCCTGAGACTGGATCGGGTTTGTAGCCATCGTTGCACTTGCAGTATTGAAAGGGCGGATTGTTGTTCCACCACCACCAGTTGTCATATTGCTCAATGCAATTGCCATCACCACAGTTGTCAGCGGTGCATTCGTCACGAAGAAAGACTGGACACAGATGGAGAGAAAACAGGAGAGTGTAAGCAGGTGAGGCATGCGGGATGGGACACCCACCCCACCATCCTTCCATAAATCAACAGAGGCAAACCAGCAGGTGTTTTCTGAGTCCTCTAGAAAATCACCTGCAATCCAGCAGGGGGAATGGTACTTATTCAAGTGGGATTGGCTTGAAAGACACATCAAACGTTTCCTGATTGCTCAAACTGAGCTGTGGTAGGTGTTTTGAGTCGACTCAAAACACGACTCAAACTGAGCTGTGGTATTGTGCAAGGGCACGCCAGATATATACAGGCCATGAACATATCCAAGCAAGCAAATTATTTCCGTGACCCCCACAAACCTCATTCACACCACTGCTTGACTTCGGATGAGCCTTGAGAGAGAGGTGAAGAAGGAGAGGGGGAGAGATGAAGATGGTGAAAACGGAGTACAGCACATACGTACAAAAATACCAGCACATACATACAAAAACACCAGCACATAGATACGGAAATACCAGCACACACATACATACAGAAATACCAGCACATACATACGAAAATACCAGCACATACATACGAAAATACCAGCACATACATACGAAAGTACCAGCACATACATACGAAAGTACCAGCACATACATACGAAAGTACCAGCACATACATACGAAAGTACTAGCACAAAGGACAGCAACACATACGTACGTACCAGCACACTCCCCGTTTTGGCGATAGTATCCAGCCACACACTCGCAGATTCCAGCGATCCCGTTTGGGAGGTCTTCACGGCATTCTTCCAAATCACCACACCGATCTAATCTCCAAGGATTGGCCAAAATTTTGCATGTTGCTGGCAGATGGTTGATGAGAGGGGGTATGTGGGAGATTGAAATGTGCAAAGGTAGAGAGAGAGAGAGGGTGAGAGTGAGAGAGAAAGAGAGAGAAGGGGGAAGGGGGGGGGTCTAAGATACTCCCTCCCTTCTCAAATCTCTCCTATCAAAAGCAACTACGGCGCAGTCTCGGCAGGACCCGTGGGCCCCACACTCTCGGCAGGACCCGTGGGCCCCAGCATATGCTGCATAGGGGATGTTGCTTGGTTGGGGGTATTCTTGAGGCGCCTCAAAAATAGCGACAGATCGGTAGGAAGGAGGGGTAGGGGTGTTGCTTGGTTGAGAGCAAGAGGCCGTGTGGTTTATGCCATATGACTTGCTTCTTGTTGCCTAGCTACATCAGTATTACTTGCCAGCGCTTGTATCCCTTTGCCTATTCTAAAACATGACCGCTTGAGAGGAGCGAAGAGAGAATGGCAAAAATGAAAAAGAGCATACGTACGGGCACAAACGTGTGTCTCTCTGCGAAGGTACCGATCCTTGCACACGCATTTAGCATGGGTCCGCTTCTCCATGCTTGGAGGAATGCAGTCTTCTTCTGGGCTGCAATTCACGTCTGGGTGAACGCATGTTGCTGGCGGATGGATGGCACGAGAGGGGGTATGCATGAGAGAGGGAGGGGAGCACATGTTGTCTAGTGGCGTTCAGCTGTTGACATTGCACATGTCAGCATGCAGTTTGGGCTGAGCAATGAATTCTTAGGAGTTAACACAAGTTTATTGTGTGGAGTTGAGATGGTGGAAACATGGACGACTGCAAATTGTAGGAGTAGTGGGAAAAACAATACAATTGTTTGTCGGAAGACTTCCGGTGCAAAGGCGGCTCAACTCCTGCACTCCCATACACAACGAGTTGACTTTTGAGTCGACTCAAAAGTCAACCCCGTGCAAAGGCGGCTCAACCATTTCCTGCACTCCCATACACAACGAGTTGACTTTTGAGTCGACTCAAAAGTCAACCCCGTGCAAAGGCGGCTCAACCATTTCCTGCACTCCCATACACAACGAGTTGACTTTTGAGTCGACTCAAAAGTCAACCCCGTGCAAAGGCGGCTCAACCATTTCCTGCACTCCCATACACAACGTACCGAGACAAGATCCAGGCTCGCCAATCATGTGATCGCCACATGTGCAGGTAATATCGTCACGACAAACGGCTGGGGGACAGCACCACCTTTCCCAGCACTTATCTGGCAGATGATTGGTGGGGAGAGGACGGGAGAGATAGAGAGGGGGAGAGTTATCAATTATAGCTATGGCACATCAATGATGCTTCTTGAATAGGTAGAGAGGGGGGGGTGAAGGGGAGGGGGGAAGAGAGAGCGAGGGAAATCATGTACGCACCAATGCAAGTCCCATTTGGCAGCATGACGGAGCCGTCCATAAAGCAAATGCAGATGGCTTCTAAAGTGACAGGGTCATGCTCGCACACTCCTCGCTCACCACAGTCCTTAGCTTCGCAGTCATCTGAGAGAGAGGGATGGAGGACATATGAAGGGAGCAAGAAAGAGAGGTGAAGAGAGTCCATATCGGGGGATGAGGACGAGAATGGGGGATGAGGTGAGAGGAAGAGAGGAAGGGGATGAGCAGGGAGAGACAGCGGGACAAAAATGAAACGGTGCGCAAAGTATCGAGACAAAGTGCACATTTCGAAACAACACTTGTCATCACATCAATCCCTTGGTGAGGGCTAGGGAGGGAGGGAGCACCAAGTCACGTCACGTGAAGCAAAGGAAACCACCAATACGCACCTTTGCAAGTGCCATCAGATTGCATGGTGAAGCCGGTGCTGCACTGGCAGGATGCCTTTCCAGATACAGGGTCCTTGGCACACACAGCCGAGTATTGACACTCCTTGAAATTGCAATTATCTGACAAGGAGGATACACAAAAAGAAAGTTGGGTAAACGCAAGTAAGTACCACTTGCGAAGGAAGGGAAGTAGTTCGGAACAACCCAAATCACCATCTCATAGAATGGTACTATCAGGAAATGCATGGCTTCGGGGAAATAGGGCACCACTTTGTGTGAAACTTTTACAAACAAAAAATCAAAGGCCAGAATTTCTACCAGTATTGAAATGAAAGGTGGAAAAATGAAAGGCGAGCAAGAACTGACACGAGAAAGAGGATGAAGTAGAGCCAATCCAACCGCTCTGAGACGTCTCAGAATGTTACGTACCAGCGCAGTACATATCTTCAGCAACGTCTCCAACGCAGCTAGAACCAATGGCACAGCCCGTGACGAGGCATGTTGCTGGCGAAGGAATGGGGGAAGGGAGGAAGAGAGGGGGATTGGGGAGGGGAGGGGGGAAGAGGGGGGAGCAGAAGGGAGAGGGGGGAAGCAGGGGTTATGCTTTCTTCACCACTGACCTTGTCCATTCATGCTGCACATTAGAAAAAGGACCCATTTGAGAGGGAGGAGGGAAGAGAGAGGGTAAGGGGGTGCTTCTCTTGCGAAAGGAGGTGAGGGGTGGTGAGACTGAGAGCGAGATTTGGGGACGGGGTAAAGCGAATGAGGCCAAATGTACGCACCGGCACAGGTGTTATTCGGTAGCATGTAGTAACCATTGTTGCAACGGCAGGTCTTGGCTCCACTTTGCTGGTCCGTCTCACACGTAGCATTGGGACCACAGAGATCGCAGACATCTGACGGGAGGGGTGGCAATTTTAAGAACGAACGAGCGAGAGGGTGAGGATAATGAGAAATAGGTTGCAAAAAGGGAGAACACACATGCCTAAACTGAATGATGATACACACGTGCCACGCAGCCAGCATATTTATTTACGTACCAATGCATTTCCCAGACACATTTCTGAAGCCCTGCTTGCAAATGCAGAATGCCTGGTCACGCTTGCCCTTGATACAGGTGGTGTTGGCACCACATCCCTTCACAACGCACGAGTCTGGAAAGAAGAGAGTGGGAAGAGATAAGCGAGACAAGAGGTAGGGCGGATCCGCAATAGTGTGAGCGATCGGGATGGGAAGTTGGGTAGAGGAGAGAGGGAAGGAGAGAGCGAAGGAGAGTGGGAGGGAGGGAGAGGTTGGAAGTTGAAACGAGCAGAACGGGTGAGGCATAAAACAACATTATCAATCCATCATAATGGTTGATTAAATAAGGCAGGCACTTACCCACTGCCACAGGCACACCACCCAGCCATGCAGCGAATCCAGCAACACTTACCCATGCAGCCATCATTGGGAGTCCTGGTGTACCCATCGTTGCAGCCACACAAGTCACTCCCTGTTGCATTCTTGTAACAGTAGGCATTTGCTCCACAGTTGTTCACAGTGCATTTCTCTGAGGGGAAGGGGGAAGGGAAGGGAGAGAGAGAGGTACTGAGCGCTGCCGGTTTGCAAGCGAGACTCGCACTCAAGGCACCAAGGGAGACGAGGAAGCCAGCTGGGTCTCGAATTCCTTCTGATAGGCGAGTTCCTTCGATAACTTCCCAAGCAAGCAGCCAAGCGCCTTCTCAATGCGTACCTGAGCAGCGGCTCCGCAGCCCGCCCACTCCACCTCTGAAGGCCGCGGTAGGCCTGTAAGGTACAGCCGGGGCGTAGGCAGGCAGGCAGCATCGTACTACGGGAAGACCGTCTTGCTGTGGCATAGCAGGAGAGCATTCAGAAGCTCCCAACAACGATGGATGGCCCATCCCAGCGCATGGTTGCACCAAAGATTGTTCTCCCTCCGTCCCATGTATTGAGACGTCTCAAAACATCTCTGTTTACACGTGGTTGCGCCGAAGATTGTTCTCCCTCCGTCCCATGTATTGAGACGTCTCAAAACATCTCTGTTTACACGTGGTTGCGCCGAAGATTGTTCTCCCTCCGTCCCATGTATTGAGACGTCTCAAAACATCTCTGTCTACACGTGGTTGCTTGCGCCGAAGGTTGTTCTCCCTCTGTCCCATGTACTACTGATCAGAGGCCGTGTGTGATAAGTCGAGTTTTGAGTCGACTCAAAACTCGACTTCTCCCTCAAAAATCGACTTATCCCTCCGGTACTACTGCTCAGAGGCAGCAAGCCGTCGGTGGTGTGGCATGCGCCAGAGCGGCAGCAAGCCGTCGGCCTCCATTCGAAGGTACGGCAGGTGACGGGGGGGGCAGTTCCTTGGCAATTAGTGGTTGTTTGTTCTCGACAGCGAGAGAGCGCGAGAGAGCAAGAGAGCGAGCGAGCACGCACCAGTGCAAGTGCCAGTTGGCGACATGATATAGTTGTCGTTGCATCTGCAAATAGCCGCCTTGCAGAAAGAGTTGGGGCCACAGTTGATGTGATTGCAGAGATCTGCGAGGAGAATTGGAGGAGGTTTGGAAAAGGCAGTTTGCAGAAGGTAAATGAGGTCAGACTTGGGATTTTAAGTACGAAGAGAGAGGGTGTGAAAGAAATGGCGCCATCACATACCAGTGCAATGAGTGCCGTTCCATGGGTAGCCGGTTTCACAAAGACACTGCACACCAGCTTCACAATAGGCATGCATGGGGCAATCACTGTTGTCGACACACACTGAACGCAGGGAAAGAGCAGGGAGAGAGAGGAGGCAGTGGGAGAGGGGATGAGGGGATGGAAGGAACAGTTTAAGGGGGGCGTGGAATATCGAGCGATCAAGGAGATTCCGTGGTTGGAAAGTGATGGGGTGGTTGGGAAGCGATGGGGTGGTTGGGAAGTGATGGGTGGTTGGGAAGTGATGGGGTGGTTGGGAAGTGATAGGGTGGTTGAGAAGTGATAGGGTGGTTGAGAAGTGATAGGGTGGTTGGAAAGCGATGGGGTGGTTGGGGATGGGAAGTGATGGGGTGGTTGGGTTGGGAAGTGACAGGGTGGTTGGGTTGGGAAGTGATGGAGTGGTTGGGAAGTGATGGAGTGGTTGGGAAGTGATGGAGTGGTTGGGAAGTGATGGAGTGGTTGGGAAGTGATGGAGTGGTTGGGAAGTGATGGAGTGGTTGGGAAGTGATGGAGTGGTTGGGAAGCGATGGGGTGGTTGGGAAGTGATGGGGTGGTTGGCAATGGCATGGCATGCACCAATGCATGTCCCCAAGTGAGTGAGGCGGTAGCAAAAGCGATCGCAGAGCATCACTTACCAAGGCATGAGGCGTCATTTGACTGGAAACCAGCATTGCATTTACACACTCCCACGTTTCCAGAAACCTTGGCGCAAGTGGCATTCACATGGCAATTGTTCTTCGTGATGTCGCACGCGGCTGCACAGGAGGGAAGCAAAGAGAACGTGGCCAAGCGGGATTCATTGAAGACATCACAAAAGAGTTGAGCATAGAGACATGTAAGGGTTGCAAAAAGCAGGGGGCGACCAACAGAGCAGGAATCAAAAGCACATGGAAGGATGGTCAAAGGGGCGGGCAGACAGAGATGAGGGGTGGGGGGCCGGGGGACGGGGGAGGGGAAAGGAAAGGGATCGAACAAGCACAACGTACCAACACAAGAGCCAGCCACCCTGACGGTTCCATCTATGCATTCACAGGTAATACTGCCTTCATTAGGGACACATTGCTCCCCCTCGCCACACACCTTCACCTTCTTACCGACACAAGAACAAGCACAACGTACCGACACAAGAATAAGCACAACGTACCGACACAAGAACAAGCACAACGTACCGACACAAGAACAACCACAACGTACCGACACAAGAGCAAGCACAACGTACCAACACAAGAGCCAGCCACCCTGACGGTTCCATCTATGCATTCACAGGTGGGACCGCTTTCCCGCGGGACACATGCTTCCGATTCGCCACACCTTGTGTTATCACATGATTCTGCAAGCAGGGTGGGAGAGAGACACAGACAGAGAGAACGAACGTGCACTTGCGTTTTGAGATGTCTCAAAACACATGATTCTGCAAGCAGGGTGGGAAAGAGACACAGGCAGAGAGAACGAACGTGCACTTGCATGCACATTCGTGGAGCCCCACTGGCAGGCACAGATTGCAGCACCTTGAGCAGCCATGTGCGGAAGGAGGAAGGCACCTTGAGCAGCCATGTGAAAGAAAACCTTGAGAAACGTGCGACTATGAATGAGGGAGGGGACGCTACCGACAGAGGAGGGCAGGAGAGAAAGCACATGAGGGAGAGTACAAGACAAGGGCAGAGAGAGGAATTGAACAACGTACCGACACAAGAACCACCAACCCTGACGCGCCCATCCATGCATTCACAGGTCACACCACCGGCTTCATTAGGGACGCATATCCCCCCTTCGCCACACACGTTTGGGATATCGCATGTTTCTGGAAGCAGGGGGGGAGAGAGATACAGACAGAGGGAACGGGTCTGGCAACCGGGACAGCCTCCCACCTTGCTATGAGTGAGCAGGAGCTACCAGGGCGCATGTTGCTATGAGTGAGCAGGAGCTATCAGGGCGCATGTTGCTATGAGTGAGCAGGAGCTATCAGGGCGCATGTTGCTATGAGTGAGCAGGAGCTATCAGGGCGCATGTTGCTATGAGTGAGCAGGAGCTATCAGGGCGCATGTTGCTATGAGTGAGCAGGAGCTATCAGGGCGCATGTTGCTATGAGTGAGCAGGAGCTATCAGGGCGCATGTTGCTATGAGTGAGCAGGAGCTATCAGGGCGCATGTTGCTATGAGTGAGCAGGAGCTATCAGGGCGCATGTTGCTATGAGTGAGCAGGAGCTATCAGGGCGCATGTTGCTATGAGTGAGCAGGAGCTATCAGGGAGCATGTTGCTATGAGTGAGCAGGAGCTATCAGGGCGCATGTTGCTATGAGTGAGCAGAGCTATCAGGGTGCATGTTGCTATGAGTGAGCAGGAGCTATCAGGGCGCATGTTGCTATGAGTGAGCAGGAACTATCAGGGCGCATGTTGCTATGAGTGAGCAGGAGCTATCAGGGCGCATGTTGCTATGAGTGAGCAGGAGCTATCAGGGCGCATGTTGCTATGAGTGAGCAGGAGCTATCAGGGCGCATGTTGCTATGAGTGAGCAGGAGCTATCAGGGCGCATGTTGCTATGAGTGAGCAGGAGCTATCAGGGCGCATGTCGCTATGAGTGAGCAGGAGCTATCAGGGCGCATGTTGCTATGAGTGAGCAGGAGCTATCAGGGCGCATGTTGCTATGAGTGAGCAGGAGCTATCAGGGCGCATGTTGCTATGAGTGAGCAGGAGCTATCAGGGCGCATGTTGCTATGAGTGAGCAGGAGCTATCAGGGCGCATGTTGCTATGAGTGAGCAGGAGCTATCAGGGCGCATGTCGCTATCAGTGAGCAGGAGCTGTCAGGGCGCATGTTGCTATAAGTGAGCAGGAGCTATCAGGGCGCATGTTGCTATGAGTGAGCAGGAGCTGTCAGGGCGCATGTTGCTATCAGTGAGCAGGAGCTGTCAGGGCGCATGTTGCTATGAGTGAGAAGGAGCTGTCAGAGCGCATGTTGCTATCAGTGAGCAGGAGCTGTCAGGGCGCATGTTGCAGCACACGATCCCGGCTCCCCAATGTATCTATCGAGGCAGCTGCAGGGATTTGAGAACTCTCAAAATTGATTCACAAGAAGCACACACACACCACGTACCAGCACACAATCCAGGCTCCCCAACGTATCCAGGAGCACATCTGCAGACTGACTCGCCGTTGACGCCGTCATTTTCCATACATATTTCCCTAGCGCCACACTTCAGAAGCACGCACAATTCTGGTACATGGTCAGGGGAAGCAAGTGTGGGCGGGGAGAGGGGGCGAGAGAGACAGAGTGAGACTTTGAGCAGAAATGTAAGTGTGGGTTTAAGATTTTGAGAGGGCCAGAGCGCGGAAGAGAGTGCGAGAGTGAGTGAGTGAGGGTTGCTGGCTTTGCTGGCCAAGGCTGCTGCTTTGCTGACCAAGGCCAGCAACATGGTGACTCAGAGGGCTTTCCCACCGGCTCACAAAGACCAGTGTGCGCCCTCCTTTGCAGACAAGCAGCGGACGGAGGATGAGCAGGATGATTTGAGAAGGATGAGGGGGATGATGTGGAGGGGAGAGGGGGGGGAGATCCTAGCCAGTCGCGGGAATGGATGTGGGTTGGTGGGGGAGGAAGGAGGGAGGAAGGGGGGAGGAGAGCGGGCGGGAAGGAGAGGGGATATAGGGGGGAGAGAGGGGGTAGAGGGCGAGAGGGAGAGAGAAAGGGGGAGGGAGAGGGAGAGCGGGAACACACACCAGAGCATGTGCCATCTGACAGCAGGTTATAGTAGTTGTTGCAAAAGTATTGACCGTCGCTGCAGTAAGCATTGGGACGGCACTTCACACCATCGCAGGGGTCTGCAAAGTTGGAAGAGAATTGAGGCAGTTTGAAAAAGAGGGGCAGGAGCGTGTTGATCTAGAGGGACACAGACAGAACGAGCACAGGACTAGGAATGCAAAAGAACGAACGAAGAGAGAGGGTGTGAAAGAAACGGTGCCTTCACATACCAGCACAACGAGTGCCATTCTATGTTGTTGTGCTGTCAGTGAGGAGGACAACGTGACGTAGAGTGTGGGAGAGGGAACGAGGGGCATCAGAATGCAGACAGATGAGCACACCACCACGTACCAACACACACACAGTACGTACCAGCACACGATCCAGGCTCCCCAATGTATCCAGGAGCACATCTGCAGACTGACTCGCCGTTCTCGCCGCTAAATTCCACACACTCTTCCCCAAAGCCGCACTTCTTGATCCTGCACGATTCTGGTACATGGTCAGGTCAGGGGGAGTGAGAGTGCGGGGGGGAGGAGAGAGAGAACGAGAGAGGGAGCGGGAGAGCGGGAGAGAGAATCTGAGCAGAATTGTAGCGCCAGAGCGTAGGAGAGAGTGCGAGAGTGAGTGAGGGTGAGTGAGAGAGCACGCATCACTGACCCCCTCATGCATCACTGACCCCGTCATGCATCACTGACCCCGTCATGCATCACTGACCCCCTCATGCATCACTGACCCCCTCATGCATCACTGACCCCCTCATGCAGAACTGACCCCCTCATGCAGAACTGCAATCGCAAGCCCCAGGGTCAGCCCTCTCCCTCTCACCTCTCCCTCTCACCTCTCCCTCTCCCTCTCCCTCTCCCTCTCCCTCTCACCTCTCACCTCTCACCTCTCACCTCTCACCTCTCACCTCTCACCTCTCACCTCTCACCTCTCACCTCTCACCTCTCCCTCTCCCTCTCCCTCTCCCTCTCACCTCTCCCTCTCCCTCTTCACGCACCAGTGCAAGTCCCATCTGATAGCGTGTTATAGTAGTCGGGGTTGCAAGTGCATTGAGCGAGATTCATAACATCGCAGTAAGAATTAGGACCGCACTTCACATCATCAC